AAATTCGAAATCCCGTAAAAATCATATTGTTGCCGCGATTTTTTTCCTCTCTACCAGGTCAGTCAACTCGAATGACGTCCGCCTTAGTAATACTTCTAGGATATATGACAATGTGCGACGGCCGACTTTTATAGATGCCCTTTAGTTTAGGTGTCTACCAGGTCAGTCACCTTCCTCGACGTTACAGCACATAAAATCATAACGCAGAACCTACCATGATTATGAAAATCTCATATAAAAAATAATATATTCGTTGTATTTTTGTGGGTGTCTAGCCATGACTTTGCCGTAGTAATAGTATTTGGGGTCTAGCGGGTCAGTCACGTCCCTCGACTTTGGTCGTAGTCACCCTGGAAGACAATCCAACAATATTCGAATCGCGGACGACGTTCATTACTGTTACCGAAAACGCAAAATTAAAGAAAGAATAAATTAAGTGAAGAAAATTCAAAATATTTCGGTTGTCCATGCAAATCATATAGCCACCGTCTGAAATTATTGGTGTCTAGAAGGTCAGTCATCTATGTTATCCAGGTAGGCAACGTGCGACCGGGACAGCGTCCATTACAGTCACCGACAACGCAAAATTAAGTTATGAATTATGTGAAAAAAAATTCAAAACATTTCGTAAGCAATCCGACTACCGAGTCACCCTCCTCGACGTCATTACTTCAAAATTTAGGTCTACGATTTTATAATTATTTATTATTACTAACAATTAGGTATTACCTACTTACACCACAGTGGAAATATCTATTGGATTTTAACCAAAAAAAACCGAAAAAACCTCTACATCAAAATATAGGTTTCGGTTTCTTTTCTTAAAACAATGTATTTAATTGTTCCGGTCCGGTTTCGGTCCTAAGATTTTCAAAAGGTTTCGGTCCAATACCGGTCAATTTCGGTACGGTTCCAGTCCCTGTTATGAAGTCCCTGTTAATAAAAGCATACATATCAATATAATATTACAGGTGAGTTGATTGGTTGAGGTAATCAAATAGCCACTTTCTTATTTTGGTAATTAATAATTTTATGAAGCATACAAATACTGCTACAATTTCTATATAATATATATTATTATATTAATAAATAAAAAGATCTTTATATATTTAAGTAAAGTTTGTAGGTAGTAAAGTTATTTAATATTTGTATAATATTTTCTATACTATTTGATATTACTTACATAATATATAGTTGTACCTACCTTGTATATTTATTTAATTATGAGAATTAAATCAAATTAATAAATAGATAATTTTATTGATGAATAGCAAATTTGATTGACCCGAAAAATACTGTCCTATTAAACGTAGGTATGTATGAGCTCATGCTTTGGAGCTCCTCGAAGAATAGCTTCGATATCTGCATCAACCTTACTTTGTTTTTTCTGAAGTTCTTTTATCAGCGTAAACAGACCAATATGAGCCCTCCCTATAAATTCATTCCAACGCCGATGCCATGCCTCCGCATGATTAGAAGTCCTAGGAATACCATTGTCTATAAATTTATGATAATATAGAGTATTACAAAAACTTTATAAATAATTGAAAATTATTAAATACAGTATTATATAGGTACCAATGTTTTCATAAATTGACCATAATGTTGGAGGAAAAAGTGGAGGGTTCCTATGTTCGGTGTTGCGCACTATACGACGGATTTTACCTAATGCATAATTGTCTTCAAACCACTGTACAAAAGTACTTGCATTGTTAGGCATAATTTCTTTAATCTCCTTGAATGCATCAGGAATTTCCTCTTCGGGCAAAAATGCAAGAGACAACATTTGCCGAACTTTGATGCTGAAATTTTCATCATTTCCATACTCAATGGATAGCCCAAACTGAAAGCCTTGTAACTTTCGCCACGCACTTTGGCATAAATGAAATAAACAACCTTTACTTTTGGACAACGGAAACTCATGTTTGCTCGCGTTGATTGCAGCAATCTCAAAGTCACTTATTATGTATTCAGGTGCTAAGTTAATACTATTGTCTTCAGCAAAATCAATTATATCCTAAAAAAAAATAAAAACTATTAAAATATAATATTGCTATTTGAAAAAAGGAAGCACTTATGTAGGTACTTATAATATTATGGTCGGTATTTTGGTTGTCGGTCGATTGACCTTTTCGGTTGATTGTCTTGTCGGTGTTTTGGTTGTCGGTCGATTGTCCTGCCGGTCGAATGGTTGTCGGTCGATTGACCCAGAACCGTATAAATGGTTAGGTTATACACTATACAATGCATATAGTTTGTATTTTTTGGCATTTATCTTACTGAGTAGGTCTACTATCATAATATTTTGCTGTTATATTGTAAGACTGTAAATAATATTTTATGTACCTACCAATTTATTTAATGTCATATGATATGATTATTTAGTAATTATAATTGCACATTTATAATGGTGCATCACTGTGTTATGACTTATCTGTTATGTGTATGCAAGTGTGTATGAATGTAGTTTATATTGTACACTTAATACATCTATGGGTATAATAATAGTAATAATACATCTATATTATAATACATAAGTCATATGTAAGTACATAATATACAGTATCAATTTGTTATTCATCATTTATTAATTATGTATTTGTTTTATTGATTTGAAACTCATGTAAATATACATGATAGCCCTACCTATATTTTGAGTAATATCTAATTATGTCATATCATTATACAATTTAACTGCCAGAATTTAATTAAATTCATAATATAGTTAGTAATTTTTTGTTTATTTATATATATAATTTGACTCACCTAAAAACTGTAATACGATATTAAGTATATTAAGTAGAACCTAGGTATACCTACATGTATGTTAGTTATATTACTATTGTCTATTCATGTAGGTATAAAATAACCATAGTTATAATAACAAATAGTTTATTTCATAAAATACTCATATTTAAACCTACATATATAAGTTATATCAAATAGTATATACTATATAGTCATATCATTATACAATATAATTGCCAGACTTTAAATAAATACATAAAGTTCTATTTTGTTTATTAATATTGTATTATTTATAATCTGTAGCAGTATTATAATCTAACCAAATCTTACTGACCTTTTTTTTTTTTTTGTGATGGTATCACGGCGCTACAGGGGGGCACTTCGCCCATTAGGGCCGTCCTTCCCCCTGTATCCGTATCATTTATTTCACACAAAATCGGTTACATAATATTCAATATCATACAATCGGCGTACAATTTATCGTACATAACTAATGGTTTCTCTTCTGTCTTACTCTTTCCTCTTCTTCCCTTCTGAACTGAACTCTCCCGATGAATCTTTTCACAGCTTCCCAGTTCGTATTCCTCTTGAGCATGATTTCAACGATGTTGTTTGCGCCTATCGGTTCTTCCAGCTCCACCTCTAGTGCACGGCGGTCCCTCTCCCATCTGCCGCACCGGAACATCAAGTGCTCCGCGTCGTCCGTGGGTTCCCCGCAATCAATGCACCTTGGGTTGTCCAGTTTTTTGAACCTCCAAAGGTACTTCCCAAAGCACCCGTGGCCGGACAGCATTTGGGTTGTATGAAAATCCACGGTTCCATGCTTCCGGTTCACCCATGCTGACAGATCCTTAATCAGACTCCTCGTCCATTGTCCGTTAGGCTCACGGTTCCATTCTTGCTGCCACTTGTGGATAACTTCTTCCCGGATCACGTCCTTCACACGTTCCTGGTCCTCTTCGCTCTTCCGCCTGTGCCTCTCGGAGCGCTCCCACGCCAGGGGATGCGCCGGTACCAGTCCTGCTATCACCATAGCCGCCGCGGTTGATATGGTTCTATAAGCCCTTATGATTCGGATGGCCATGACCCTCTGTGGTCTCTGAAGCTCTTCCACGTTACGTTTGACGTCTAGGGCCCCTACCCATATAGGAGAGGCATATAAAAGTTTGCTTGTTACCACGGTTGATAGCAGCTTTCTCTTCTTTTGCCCTGATCCACCGATGTTTGGCAATATTCTTGAGAGCGCCAAGGCCGTGGCCTTTGCCTTGGCGGACGCCGTTTTTATGTGGGCGCCGAAGCCGAGTACCCTATGTAGTTCTACTCCCAGGTATGTTATTTTTTCTTTTATTGTAACGTCCACTCCTTGTATCCTTAGCTGGGGGAGCACATATCCCCTCTTCCTTGTCAAGATAACCGCCTCCGTTTTGCCAACTGAGAGTGATAAACCCGCTCTTCTCATCCACTCGGACACTATATCCAATGCGTTGTTGCAGACTGTTTCGAGAATGTGGGAAGTGTGTCCATGTGTACCGCTACGTCGTCGGCAAAGGCAACGAGGGTTGTCGATGACCTACCCCTATCATTACCCCCCGTGTCCGTTCGAAGCAGATCGTCATACATGAGGTTCCACAATGTTGGTCCTAGAACGGATCCCTGTGGGACTCCACAAGTCATGGCCCACGACTTCCCCTCGTACTGCACTGATCTGTCGCTTAGGTAGCTCCGTATCACTCCGACAAGGTACTGAGGCATCCCTTTGTCGCGTAGCGACTCTTGAATTTTGCTCCATTTTGCTGAATTAAAAGCATTCGCCACATCAAGTGCCACTACCGCACAGAGCTCCCTGCGGTAACGCGGCCCCGATCCTGCTGTCTCGACCACTTCCATAACCTTTCTAATCGCATCCACTGTTGAAAGCCCTCTCCTGAACCCGAACTGTTTCTCGTTCAGATCTCCGTTCTCTCCAAGGTGCTTTTCCAAGCGCCTTTTTATAATTCTCTCGAACAGTTTGCCTGCGGTGTTCAGTAGGCATATTGGCCTGTACGTTGAGGGGTTTTCCACCGGTTTTTCGCCTTTTCTTAACAGCACAAGTTTTGCCACCTTCCAGGAATGTGGGAAGAGGCCAAATTTCAAACAGCTATTAAAAGTATCCCTGAGTACTATTGGTTTTTTGACTGCGATCGTCTTGATTATCACGTCTGGGACTCCATCCGGTCCGGGTGCTTTCCCTGACGGGATTTTCCGACTTGCGTCTATGATCTCATCACACGTGACTTCTGGGAATGCGTGATGGCCCGACCATGGCCCGGCAGCGTGAGTCCTGGTATCGGTCTCCTGCCCACAAGCTTCTTGGTCACCAGTTTGTACGGTAGGCCCCAGGGATCCGTCTCCACTTGGTCGCAGAGGTCTCTCCAGCAATTCTCTTTGCTTCGCTTGATAGCTCTCTTCAGGTCCTTTTTCGTCTGTTTAAAGTTATCGCGTGCCTGCTCCTGCAATTCCGTTGGCCGATGGCGCCCTCTCTTGTACTTACGCCTGGCCCTCTTGCACTCGTCACGCAGGTCAGATATTTCCTGGGTCCACCAGTACGCTGGCTTTTTCCCCCCACGGTAATTTCCTTTCGGCATGCAGCTGTCACATGCGTCCTTTAAATACCGGTTTAGGGATTCTGTAGTAGATAGCGCTTCTGTTCCTGGTTCAAAGTGAGTCCGCTCAATGAAGCTCAGTAGTTTGGACTTGTCAAGCTTCCTCCATGACCACCTTTCCTCTACTTGAACGCGATCTGCATGCAACGTCCGTGAAATGTTAAAATATATGTAACTGTGTAGCGATCCCGTGTACTCGTCCGAAACTTTCCAGTCTTTCACTACTCGGCTCTCCGTTTCCGATACGAATGTGATATCGATGTGTGACCTTGATATGCCACCTTCGTACACCCTTGTAAAGGTAGGTTTGTCGCCGGAGTTGCATACGGCCATTCCGAGACTGGCCGTCATGTCCAACAATGTTTTTCCTTTATGGTCCTCTCTGTGATCCCCCCATGCTGGTGATTTAGCATTAAAGTCTCCGGCAACTATCACCATGCCCTTCTTGTTTCTTATACTGCCTTCTAATCTGTCAAGGAAGTCGACAAACAGCGTGTAGTCCGTGTTGGGGGACCAATAGCAGGCATAGATCGTAGTATTCTCAATCCTAACCCACCGGAAGCCTAGGTTGTCTTTTGGGCCAATTTCCTGAACCTGTATTCTCGGATTGAATGCCATGATAGCTGCTTTGTTGCCCGCATCGCTGTACCATCCGTCGTAGTCTTGCCCGCTGCGATGTGGTTCGCTGATTATCAGCACGTCGACTCCCTGCTGACTCGCTGTGGCCATCATTAAATCATGAGCGTTCTTTCTTCCGTCCACATTTATTTGCATAAACTTGATCATTGTTGGCTTGGATTACCTGCCGTTGGCGATCTATCCACAGTTAGTTGAGCCTTGAAAGTGGCTTTGTCCTTTTCGCTTGCTCCGCAGCCAGCCTTAAAGTGGCCTGTTGCGCCACACGCGCGGCAGCAGTCCCGTCTATTTGGCCCTTTACAGTCCTCAGAGGCATGACCGGCGACCAAGCACCTTGGGCACCTGCCGCGTCCGCGTTCTTCCCACTGTCTCACCCTGCAGTTTACGTACCCTACTCGCAGTTTTCCGCTCGCATGTGCTATGCTAGCTGCCTTTGTAGGTAATGAGACCCCCATCCACTTCTGTCCCCTGTTGGCCGCTATCGTGGTGACCACTTTTGCCTCTCCTGCCGTGCCTTCCGTTGCGGTTGCTATAGCTTCTAGCACTTCTGCCTCGCTCGCCAGTTCGTCTAGGTCTTGTATCATCACCTTTTGATATTGCATCAGTTCTTTGACCAACTCATTTCCTCCCACAGCCGCCCCCAGAGCTTCGGCTAAGGGAGCCATTCCTTCTTGGCCAGGGTTTACTCGCACTAAGAGGTCCCCGCTTTTGGTTTTTGTGAGCGCTGTTATTTTGTCCGCCACTACTTTGATCTCATCGCTGTTTCTTACTTTTTGGAGTACGTTCTTGTAATCTCCTTCCTTTACGCGCACCAATAATGCTGGAGGTTTTCGCTTCATCGGCAGGTTCTTCTGGTTGGTCCGTCTTGTTCCCGCGACTGCCAGCTCAGCTGGTTTGTCGACTGGTTTTTCGCCTTTTCCTCTCCTTGTATTTTTCCTGACGACATCCGTCCAACTGGTCTGCTTCCCGAGCTCAGCCTTCTCTTCCATCTTTGCGCTCTGTGCTTCTAGCATCATCTGCAGATTAGCGACTGCCGTCTTGACCTCCGCGCTGTTGGTGCTTCCAGGCCTAACAGAGTCACCATCCTCATATGCTCCTGTTACCTTTTCGCTTACGCTTGCAATGGCATCCAGTACTGCCTTATTGGACTATTCCACCGTCGTGTTCAAGGTCTGTGTAAGGATCGCCACAACTTTCCTCGCATCAACGACTACGAGCTTGTTGCCTGCTTGCTGGTTCCTTCCACTTTAAGCTCAACGTTATTACTCTCAATAGAGCCTATGATGTTCCACACCGTGTCGACGCTCTCCTTGAGTCCTTTTACCTGAGTGCGCTTGGCCATGTCCTTCAGGGACTCCACCTCCGCCTTGAGCATTCTGAAGAGACCCGTGTCTTTGCCCTCGAGATGCTCCAGCTTGCTAGTAGCCGAGTGGTCTGGCTCGCTGCCTGCATCTGAGTCTGTTGGCTTGCCGCCACAGGCACTCTGGGAGTTCATGGCCAGGGGGAGGTCCTGCGACCCTTGCCCCCTTTGTTACTACCACTTCTCCGTTCGGCAGTGAGTAGTGAAGCAGTGCAGGGACCAAATCCGAAGGTATCGGTGCCTGCACTGGCTTCGGAGGTGACTGCCTGGTCACACTTCTCACTGTCCCTATCCTTGCTCCTCCCCTGGGGGGGTAGGGGGGTCAAACCTGCGGGAACTTGTCGGGGATCGTCCTGGTAGGTTTGGGAGCGCAAAATTTTTCTCCCGAAGCTCTGAGATCAATCCCCGACGAGTTATCCCCGAAAAACTGTTTTTGGAGGCAAATTTAAATTTGCCGCCAAAGGACGGATAGCGCCGTCACTTGGCCGTCGATACTTCTCCACACGCCGTCGGCTGGTCCCCGTCGCGCCTTATCAAGGGCACAGTTCTTCCCCGACGCGTTATCTAGGTAGCAGCTCTTCCCCCGGCGCGAGAAATAGCTGATACTTCGGAATTCCCGTTTTTCACACGGCGGCTTTGGGCGGCCGTGTAAAAGGATAGGGAGTTAAGAAAAAGAGCGATTACTCACCAACTAAGCGTCGGACCGATGCGGACGAAGTGTCCCTGGCTTCGTCTTCCTCAGCCGCGTCTTTTCAGCCACCGCTCGCGAACTTGCCGCGTAAATTGCGGTTGCAAACTTCCCGGCGGCGCAGGGGCTTATCCTCCGTGTTTGCTCGGCACCGAGGGGTCCGGGATGGACGCGCGAAGCACCGAGCCTTTCGGGAGGGTGCAGTGGATCTTAATCGGGCCGACTCAAAATCGACACCGGCCCGAACGCGCACTTTTTATCGGAAAGACAAGTAATGCGTAACACAGTAGCTCGATACACTTGTGGGACACAAGAAATGAGATTTCCCGGTTAAAATTCAACCGATCTTCGCGCGGACTGTACCAAACTCTTCAGAATTGGATTCTGCGTCGATTGGTACCTGGTTTGCAAAAAACGGTTGACCATTTTCAATGTAGAAACGGTTTTTCGCGAGAGCGACACACAAACACGTCCGTTCGCCACGACAGCCACCGCTGATTAAAACTGTAATAGCTGTATCAAGTACCAACTACATAGTGTATTATATGTTTAATATTTAATCGAGTCCATGTCAAACGATTTAGGTGCGTTGCTCATAAATGTAGATAATTAAAGCAATAGCTTTGGTTGTCAATTATCTAAATATTGTTATTTATCAATTATCTATTTATTAATTTGATTAAACCTACCTATTGTATACTCAAATTAATAATACCTAATATATAATTAAATTATATTATTGTTTCTGTGACATCCATCGTTGACTCGAGCTGGGATAATATTTTATTAAGTATATAATTTAACTAAACCAACCCAGCCACCGTGTATCAACTCTTGATAAATATACATTTATTTATTATAATATGCATGTACCAGGTACCTACAGACCGATGCTGTGGGCAGATCATGTACATTGATAACCGAGTGCGCAAAAGGACAAAAGGCAGTAAAATATAATATAATAACGCAGTTTCTTGAATCAAAAAATCGAACGTTTCGTCGCATATTTTCTTTTCCGTTTATAGTAATAACAACACTGTCCGCTGCGCGATCTCCTCCGCGGAACTCGACTCGAGCGAATTACTGACGGGGGCAGCTTATAAATTTAGCGGGGAACGGCAATAACATCCAAACAGGAAGGGTAATACCACTAAAACGGGCCAAGAAACGAATTTTAGAAAAAAACGGCAAAAAACGACGCGACCCATGTATTTATTGCTGTATATAGCGATACTTACACGGTACCTACTCTCTTTTCCTCGACGCCTCTCTTTCCCGGGACTCGTCTGTGTAAATGTAGGGCCACGCGCCGGCTATAAATTTAGCGGGGAATGCGAATAAGATTCAAACGGGGAGGGTAATACGACCAAAAGGAGCTAAAACTCAAATTATTGAAAAAAAAAACGAAAAAAAAAAAGAGAAATCAAACTCTTCGTCGCATATTATATTCACGCCCATGTGAAAATTTTGAAAAAAAATCGTGAAAAGTTATAACGCAGCGACGGCTCCGCAAAAAACGACGCGACGCATGTATTTACGCCTGTATATAGCGATACATACACGGTACCTACTCACGCTTCCGCTCACGTTTAACCTCCCCTGGACTCGTTTTTGAAAAGTAGGGCTACGTGTCGACTATAAATGTAGCGTGGAACGCGAATACGTCTCTGACGGGGAGGTGGGAAGTCTCGTAGAGGTGCTAAACGCGACTCCAGTCGAATAAGTCGGGAAAACCGTCGAAACGGCGACGACGCGGCGATCTCCGCGATCGACTCTTTCGCCGAGGGACTCGTTTTTGATAAAGAAGGGCAGCGCGCCGGCTATAAATTTAGTGGAGAACGCGAATAAGATCCAAACGGGGAGGTCGATACGCTCTAAAACGCCTAAATCTCGAATTTTCGAAAAGAACGGCAAAAAACGGGGTCGACGTCGGCGCTCATATCGCGCGCGATATCCACCGCCTTGGGTTCGCTGGGAAAAAAGCAGGGCCACGCGGCGACTATAAATCTAGAGGAGAACGCGAATAAGGTTCGAACGGGCCCCCCAGGCCCCCCAGGGGGGGCAAAGCCGAAAGAATCTGAAAATTTTTGAAAATTTACAAAAAAAACGTTAATAAGTGATAAGAGGAGTGATAACGCAGCGACGGCTCCGCCGCCGCCGGGAGACCGCCCATGGAATTTTCTCATTGGCGAGGTTGACTAAGTCAGGGCCGATTTAACGCATAGGGAGCGCCACACGGGTTTTCGTTTTATATAGTAAGACTACCTCTCCGAGCGTCGCTGGTGGACACAACCAGACCCCCGTGATCGGGCCCCGTTTGTTGTCGATTTCGGAAGCCGCGGTGGCCTCGACATTTTGCGCACTTGCGGTCTCGATCCGACTCGGTATATCGGCGAAGAGGTGGTATGCCAATAAGGATGTGTGATAAGGCTAGGACCACTGCGGTTCGACGTGGTAGCCCGTGGTAGCCAGGGCAGAGTCATTGACAGAGTCTTTTCGACGACGCCGCCGGAAATTCGAAATTTGATAAAAAAAATAATATAGTAATTTTTGTGGGTATCTAGCAGTTCGGTCACCTAGAGTGACGTTCGCCGTAGTAATAGTATTTGGGGTCTAGCGGGTCAGTCACATTCCTCGACTTTGGTCGTAGTCAAACTTTAAGACAATATTCGACGGTTGGGGCACGTCATCACGTATGCAATCTGACTGCGTCGAATCGCGGACGACGTTCATTACTGTTACCGAAAACGCAAAATTAAAGAATAAATTACGTGAAGAAAATTTAAAATATTTCGGTTGTCCATTCAAATCATATAGCCACCGTCTGATTTGTTGGTGTCTAGCAGGTCACCCATCTATGTTATCCATCTATGTATAGGCAATGTGCGGCCGGGACAGCGTCCATTACAGTCACTAAATCAATTAAGTAATGAAAATTCAAAACATTTCGTAAGCAATCCGACTACCGAGTCACCTTCCTCGACGTAATTACTCGAAAATATGTTTTGGGGTCTAGCAGGGGATCTAGGGTCTAGCGTCGGATAGCGGACAACGTGTGACTTCTGACGCAAAATTAAGTTATAGGTCACGTGCCAAAAAATATGGTATATGTCTTGGTGTCTACTGGGTCAGTCACCTTCCTCGACGTTGGACGTAGTAACCCACGTATGCAATCCGACTACGTCGAATTGCGGACGACGTTCATTACTGTTACCGAAAAAGCAAAAAAAGTAATATATTACTTGAAAAGTATTTAAAAAATTTCGGACGTCCATGCAAATCATATAGCCGCCGTATTTTTTAGGGTGTCTAGCAGGTCAGTCACCTCGAATGACATTCGCTATAATAATAGGAGTAGGCTATCCAACTTGGACGGATAGCGGACAATGTGCGACGGCCGGGTCACGTCATCAGGTATGCAATCCGACTGCATCGAATCGCGGACGACGTTCATTACTGTTACCGAAAACGCAAAATTAAAGAATCAATTACGTGAAGAAAATTCAAAATATTTCGCTTGTCCATTCAAATCATATAGCCACCGTCTGATTTTTTGGTGCCTAGCAGGTCAGTCATCTATGTTATCCGGGTAGGCAATGTGCAGCCGGGACAGCGTCCATTGCAGTCACCGACAATGCAAAATTAAGTGATGAAATACGTGAAAAAAAATTCAAAACATTTCGTAAGCAATCCGACTACCGAGTCACCTTCCTCGACGTAATTACGCGAAAATATGTTTTGGGGTCTAGCAGGATCTAGGGCAGGGGTGGCCAACCTTTTTTTATATTGTTTATATTTTATATTATTTTTATATTTTTATATTGTTTATGTTTACATAAATATAAATTTTAGATTTTTTCATAGGTACTATTTTTATTACAGTTCAATTGCAATGTTTTTTTTTTAATGATTAGGTATGTTGAATTTGCTTCATGGATATTATCATAATTTGGTTTAAGTTTAGTTGAGGATAGAAGCATCAAATTTTTCAAATGAGAATTTATTAGTTTGGTTCTATACTTATTTTTAATGAAAGTCATCCGCGAAAAACTTTTCTCACATATATATGTAGACTGTAGAGCCAAATCTGCAAACTAATTTCAAGGCTACATTATGTAATTCTGGAAAATCTTCCTCGGGTAGGCATTTCCAAAATTCTATTATCTCAGATGCCTCTTTATATTTGCATTTTAAAACTGTTGAACTTTGAAGTTCAATAATTTCCAATTACATATTAGGCTTATATTTTTTTAGATCGTGTGTCTCTATGATAAATGGATTAATAAATAAGTTAATTTAACCTGAAGTTCCTGGTTTATTAGATGCCATTTCACGATCACACACACACAACGACACAAACTACTTGTTAACGCAAGGGCACGGCGATTCTAATACGACTAACTTTATTGTAGTAATCTAATACACACGTACCGTAACAATTCTCTTA